GATTGGTTGCGGAGCGTCGTACGACGCAAATCGGATGCAGTGTGAATCCAGCAATAGGATGCGCTGCGTTCCATGCGGTCTATGCGTGAAACGGAACGCACCCAAAAACTCTCATTTTACTATACTGAAACTTTCGTGTATTCAATAATAGTTAACATTCGTATTATATACGACTAGAAGTTTCCTTTTTAACTGTATCTTTCAGGTGATTTGTATCAAATAAGTACGTTAGAAATTTTGACCGGATTTGCACGCCTATTGGAATTATAGGTTATATTGTGTTTATGAAGACTCATCTTGGCAATAAGGTATATATATTCGCATTTGCCTATTATTGTCGTAAAAAAAACGAAATAGTTCTCCTTTCATTGCAACTACAATTTTGCAGATATCTAAGCGTTAGTCAAAATTCATTCAACGAGTTTCTTATTTATCTTTCGCACTTATTTATAAATACTACTGATTCTGCTGTATTTTTGACAGAATGGAGTCAAGAACCGAATTTAAAATAAAGTCACCACCAACCGACGCAATTTCTGCGGTTGAATTTGGACCAAACTCCACACAGTTCCTATTAGTGTCATCATGGGACAGTACAGTGAGATTGTACGACATACATGCTAATACGATGAGATTAAAGTATAATCACGATTTACCAGTATTGGACGTTGCGTTTCAGGTAACTGAAATCGTTAATTTCTTTTGTTTTGCTCAATTATACAATTGAGGGGATGGGTGGGATAAAGGTATAATTCTACTTAGGTCCTTTTTCCGACAATTAGGGCCTGAGCACAATAGAGGAACAGGAATTAGATATTAAGATTTTAACCTATCAGAAACTGATTACATCGGAATACACGGTTTCTGATAGGTTGAAATCTTAATATCTAATTCTTGTTCCTCTATTGTGCACAGGCCCTTAGCTTTTTCATGTAATATTGATTGTAATAAGAAAAGTATTATAACATGTAACTTCTTAAAGACACATAAATTCATTTGATATTACATCTATTTGTATACAATAAAAAAGTAGCAAATTATTTTAATTTTTATTAATATCAAGATTTTGTAATTAGGCCTTTATTCCATCCATCCCCTCAATTATCTGGAGACAACCTTTAAATCATGCTTTATATATACAAATTATTTTAGTTCCATTTATATTTATTTCTGTTACATTATAGAGTTAACATACAGGATATTACAGATACATACTAGGCAGTACGATGGGTTGCGCGGCAAACTTTGCATGGCCAAGCGTGGTTTAATAGACAATGACAGTGACTTTATACATTATAAAGTTTATACTACAAAGTTTTATTATTTATATTATAAAGTTTATGTTATAAAGTCACTATCATTGTCTATTAAACTATGCTTGGCCATGCAAAGTTTGCCGCGCAACCTGTCGTACTGCCTAGTATGTATCTGTAACACCCTGTACATTGAGTTTTTCTCTTTAATGGCAGAATGACAGAATTGAACCTGAATCTTCAAATAATTGCTCTATTGCATTATTTAACATTTCCAAAAGTTTTTGATTATGTTTTTTTATTCTGATAATTCTCTGATATTTTTCTTTTTCATCACAAAACTATTTGCAGGATGCTGTTCATGCATATAGCGGTGGATTAGGAAATACTCTCAAAATGTATGACATAAATAGCAATACTGGTACTGTCATTTTTTTAAATATTTTTTATTATTTTACTTTATATTTTTATTACAAATATACATTGAAAATATTTGTAGAAACAATAATGGGCACACATGATAAGCCAATTAGAAAAATAGAGTATTGTGCAGCTGTAAATGCAATATTAACTGGTGGTTGGGATGCCGCGGTAAAACTGTGGGATCCTCGATCACCTACCTGCGTTGGTAGTTATTTGCAACCCGATGTGGTCCTTGCCTTGTCTGTATGTGGTGACAAATTTGTAGTGGGCACAGCAAAACGCAAAGTTTGCATTTGGGATTTAAGAAACATGGCAGGCATGTTTCAGAGACGAGAAAGTAGTCTAAAATATCAAACGCGATGTATTAAAGGTTTCCCTAACGAACAGGTACGTTCATCCTTTATAAAGTTCGCGATTTATTGTTCACTTCGTTTACTTGCTTATATTGAGTATACATTCACATTCCTTTATAAATTTTATTTTTGATATATAGGGATATGTATTAAGCAGCATAGAAGGTCGAGTCGCCGTCGAGTATCTTGATACAATGCCAGAAGCTCAGAAAAAGAAATACGCATTCAAGTGTCACAGAATAAAGGAAAATAATGTTGAACATATTTATCCAGTGAATGCTATTAGCTTCCATTCTGCATACAACACGTTTGCCACCGGTGGCTCGGATGGTTACGTGAATATTTGGGATGGTTTTAATAAGAAACGGCTGTGCCAGTTCCACCGATACAATGCTGGCGTGGCCGCGCTTAGTTTTAGCCATGATGGTTCCGTTCTTGCGATAGGCGTTTCATATTTAAACGAAGCTGAGATTCCGCCTGGTGGCAGTGATGAGCGAGAAATTTATATAAGATACGTCAATGATCAGGAGACCAAGCCAAAGTAAACAGAAAGTTTATAAGATGCTATTACAGTGACAGAAACATGTGATTAGAAAAACTCGTGGGTTTCCATGCATTAAAATAGAAGAATAAACGCGTTCTGTGAATAATTGTAAATATTCTGAATTTGCTAATTTATATGCATGGAAATAACATGGTGACTCATGATGAGTTCAATAAATTATACGTTTTATAAAAATATCATCATCTGATTTTTAGGAAATAAATCTGATTTATACCTATATATATATATAACTTACTTTTGTTGTATTAAATAAATGACTTGATTACATATTTATCATACAATTATATTACATTTATTTAAAAACAATTAATTTATGCATGGATTACATATCAAATATTTAAATTTACAATGTAGGTTGTACTATACTGTGTGATCTCTTAGAAAGCGAAAGCTTTTTTTACTTTTAATTCGATTTAATAAGATTATAGAAATAAAGATACACAATTATACAGGGATATAAGTGAAATAAAAAACTGTACACTGTATAAAATTTATATATTTACTAAATGACTTTACATTATATATAACCAATACAATGATCGCAAACAAGTTATAAAATTGTTAAGAATAATCTTTTACAATGCAATGTGTGTGTTGTAATTTACATTAATTCCGAAAATTTTCGAAAACTGATCGCGAGAAAACGTATCAAAGAGATAAAATTTATTAATAATTCCGTTTAAATATTAAATATTGCAAAATATAGAGAAGGCAATGATTTTCTACATCGACTATAAAACAATGTCTTCGACAACATGCGACCATGATTCTCTTTTTTTCTGTCTATTACATTAATTTTACATTTCAACATAAAATATAATATGGCATTTAAAAATATATACAAGATGTGAAAGTATTTGATTGCAAGATGCTCAAATGTAATTAAAGCAAATGTACAAATTTATTTTTTTTTATGTTAAGACTCCTGAGTAGTCACTCCAGCCATTGAATTGTGACGTCATAAGTGAGAAATGACATGTTGATTTTTCTCGCATACTATTTGTAAAGAGAATTTGGATAAAATGAAATGAGATAAGATCGCTTTAAAACCCTTGTAAAAATGAACGAAAATTCCTTATCTCCCCTGATAGTAAAGAATCGAAAAAGGCTCGTGAAGTGAAAATAGGCTATGCATGTGCATTGAGTAAAACCTAGTAAACGCACTTTACGTGCCTTTTACGACTATTTACTGATTGTCAAGGGAGATAAGGATAGTTTTCGTCCATTTTTACAAGTGTTTTAAAGCGATCACATTATTTCATTTTATCCAAATTCTCTTTATTTACAAATAGCATGCAAGTAAAATCAACATGTCATTTCTCGACGTCACAATTCAATGGCTGGAATGAGTACTCAGGAGCCTTAATAAATTGTAATGTAGATACTGTTGTCAGTAATTAATTATAACATAGATTCATAGCAGTATAACGTTATATCTATTTTTTTTTACGATGTTTCACATTCTAAATTTTATTGTCGCTATTAATTGCAGTCTTTCTTAAAGAGAAAGATGTGGATTAGTCATTGCAGCATCAAAATAAATCAATTACACTATAAGCATAATGATCAAATAAAATATAATCTAAATGTCAATTTCAAGCGCAACTTATCTTAAAAACTGTACAATATTTCTATTTTACACAGGCTTTTAAAAAAATCATCGAAAATTCTCTTGAGTATTTCAATCTTCAAAATAAATGTGCCATATACACGATTTCGAATGTAAATTATACCACTGTTTGCTTTTATTATAGAACTTGTAAAATATTTAAGGCAAGTCAGAAGTCATATTTTTATGTAAACTGTTTTTAATCATATCTGAAGATACCTAATTAAGATAAATTAAAAATCATACCTTTATTTACGCACAATATTTATATTACGATTTGGTATATAGATCTACAAGTATTGCATCTCTTCAACTGTTCAACGATTTCTATAATGTTTGGAATAACAATATGTACATAATATTTAACAATTTGTACTAATGATCTCCTGTGTTGGCTTTTGGTAAAATACCCTCATAAAATAACAAACTAATTATTCTCTTTGTATTAATAATAATGCATCTATTTTGCAATATTATTTCTTGCCATTGATGACACTTTGTGCACGAGTTATCATTTTTTTTGTCAAGCAAAAATTTGAGGAAACGTACACTGATATATTGATTCATTATGATTCGTGTTAAACGATGAAATTATGATTATTAATTAATCATAATTTATGATTAATTAATGATTAATAATTACAATTATTACTTATATAATTATGTAAATAAAAATTAATAATTATATAAGTGTAATTGGACATAACAGTCAAATAATACTTTCAATGTTTATTTCATTAATCTCCTATGTATCTTCACAAATTATTTTCCTCAATGTATCTCGTATTGTATCGTGCGTGGCAAAGCTTATTCCAACAGCAATAGGACCCTTTACCCAATTCATGCTTAAGCCTTTATAAAAAGCCATTATTCCTTCTTCCCTGTAACATGCACAACGGTAATTTATTAATATAATTTTGTATAAATATGAAATTGCATTTATTATAAAAAAAATGGCAAATTATATTGTTAAATGTATCAATTTTTATGTGTCTGTAAATAAGTGTATTATCAAATATAAATATAAATTCTTTTCTTTTTTTTCTTGAAATTAAAAAAATATTTTGTTTTTTTGTCTTTTTTATTTTAATATTAACTTTACTGACAATTCATTTATTCAACATAATTAGATATTTGCTGTACTCAATTATTATCTTTAAATAAATTAGTATCTGTAAATGATGCGTAAATACTCACGTATAAATTTTCACGATAGTCGACGTGACCGTGTGATAATGCTGGCCCTTGATCGCTGACGTCTGCATTCTCCGCCGCACAATATCCAGTGGGTAGCTGCTTGTCTGACCGACCATTCCAGCGATGCCGCCGCAAATGAGCGAGGTCGAGAATCCCGGAATAGTCACCGTGTACACTGTTCATCGACACGTAGCCATCATCGAACATGAAGCACGCAGCACTTCGAAATACGCCGCCGGTCGGGCTTGTCTCGCGTCGCTATTAAAGTTAGTACCGTCCCAATATCAGGGGAAACAGGGTGCCCCCGACGTGCCCCATCGGTACCCTGCTTTACGATCATATACAACAGCCACTCTCATTCGTATAACCCTCGACTGTCTTTTTTTCGCATATTGTATGTGTATGTGTGTATGTACGTAGGTCATTCGATAAGTCTGGCAAATCTTTATGAGTAAGTCTCTTTGACGTGACACCTGGAAATTATCATTCTTCAAACTCTTCCAGGTCAAATTTCAACCAGAATTTATGCGTTGTTCACGTTTGGCAGTTGTTTAAAGCGAGCGAGAAATTAAGCAGTTGCCGTGTATAAAAATAAAAAGGAAAACACAAATTTCATGCAAAATGAAGTGAATGAGGAATCGATTCTGTAATTTTGCACAGAATTCATTTTTTTTTTATTTTTGTACGCGGCAACTGCTAAATTTTTCACTCGCTTTAAATGACTACCGAACGTGAACAATGCATCAATTCTAGCTGACATTTGACCTAGAAGGGTTTAAAGAGTGATAATTTTTAGGTGTCACGTCATCAAATGGATTGTTACAACATTTTATAAAGATTTACCAGACTTATCAAACGACCCTCGTATGTGAGTACAAGCACCGCCACCGTCGACGGGCGTCAAAGAAATTCATTGTGTGAACGGGAACTCACCAGACAGTAAGTTTCTCAGCATGTCGTATGTGAAGAAACTGCAACCGGCATATGGGATGGCACCGAGGATTGTAGCGGTGAAACCACGATAGGACGCCAATATTCCCTCTTCTTTATACATTCGCCAGAACGCCTGACGTAGAGTCTTGTATTCGGCCTTTAGAGTTACCGCCATTCTCGCTCGCATCAAATCTAATGGATAAGTCATAGTCTGCGACGTTACACCCGCGAGTGCACCGGCCAGGAAACTCGCCCATGGCTTTTCTCTGTAAATATTCATAACACTAGAATAAGATTTGCATACAGTATCCTCATTTAAATCACAGGCTTGCCGCTGGCTCAGGCTCCCAAAAAAGTGAGAATAGTGAGTTTTGTATTCGAAAAAGTGAGAGAAAAGTGAATTTTTTTAAACGCTGAACAACAAGGTAGTTTATTTTAGATTTGATTAAAATTGTATAGAATGGTATCTAAGAATTAGCACTTTATTATTTTTAATATATTATCCTGTGACGGTGATACTTTCATTATTTAATATTTTATTAAATTTAAAGGCGCTTTTGAATGTTAAAAACGGTATCGTTAAAAATACATGTTTCAACATGTTCGGCAGAAAAGACGACAAAGTTCTAATAACAATAGCATCTAAATTCAGAAACTGAAACAACTTAGGAATGAAACAGGTATCTGGAAACAAAGTTATTATTGGAAGAAAAGCTCTGCGGTATTTTGTTATCTTAAAATTATGTATACAATATCTTCATTAAAAGCGAACAAAATTTAAATTAAAAAAAATTATTTTAAAGCTTGAGAGAGAAATCTCTGTTTTTGAATGGTGACTATATTTTTTGAATTTATGTGTTTTGTAATTTTTATATATAGAAAACTACGAGCTGACAAAAAGGAAAATTTTTCTTCTCACTTTGTGGGTCTGCCAAAAAAATTGCGAAAATTTTCGACTATCTATATCGTAAAAGTTTGAAGTTTTCCTTATAAAATCGTTTTTAATAATATTTTTACGATTTTTTGTTCTTGAGTTATTCGCGAGTCAAGTAAAAAAGAGCATTCTGACTTTGATTACTCATAACTTTATTAAAAATCATCGCACTGCAATTAAAAAAACAGATTCTTAAAGCTGAAACGTTGCTCTTTTGAGTGGTATAATTGCCAATTTAAAAAAATAGAATATATAAATTTGAGCTAAAAATATGGTATTACTGTCCTTATAACCATTGTGCAATGGTCATAACAATAGTAATATCACATTTTTACAACTCAAATTTCTATATATTTTATATTTAAAAAATTAGCATGATATTATTCGATAAAGTAAAGTTTCAGTTTTAAGAATCG